GGCAACAGTGCTAACCACCGTGCTGCTCCATCTTTATCATTTACTACATAATATCACTGAGTCATACTGTCTTTTAGGAAGATATCTGCGCTTAAGTCCCTGTAGGAGAGAGTATCGGGTATTTATGTTTTCAAAGTCACACTGTAAGGATTCTTACCTGAGGAATAGGGAAGTGAGTGGCATACTGGATGTGGCGGGGTTGCTCGTACAGTTGAGGAAAGGCGGGGTCCATACCCTTGTCCTTACAGTTGGGCTTGCTGTCCTGATCTGTAACCGGCTTCTCTGGAGAGGGGCTTCCCTTGGTTTCACAGTGCATTGGAGGTGAGAACATCTGCAGGACAAAGAAGTCTGAAATTACTTCAAGCGAGGAACACCAAAATGTTCAGACAGAAGTGGCTCCTAGTGTTTATGTATAAATTATGGCAAAAATATACCTCATCGAAATTAGCACTGGAGTTATGATCGATTTCCATTGACTCCGATAGGCCAGTATCCTGTTGAACAAACAAGAACTTCATGTTATCTTTCTGCACCACACAGCTACTGTGTCTGTAACTCTACACAACATCGCCAACAGATTCCTCCAACATGCCTCCATCTTCACACTGCTGCCTGCATCCTGCTCTTTGCGCTCTGATTCATCGGAGGGCTCATCGCTGGGTGAACGTGGGCGGGGCAGGTGGGAGTCAGAAGCCAAGTCGCCACGGGAAATGAGCGTGCACATGTAGATATTGTGGGAAAAGACGTCGTGACGGATGAGCTCGCAGAAGAGAAGGACTAGGTTGGAGAACTCCACGCGTTCGCTTTCATTCCCAGGCTCCGCTGTGAAGGGGAAAAGAGGATTTGAATAATTTATTAGATTTCCCCTGCCAAATCATTTCCAATAAATATGCAGTGAGTAATGAAGTAAAAAGGCAAAGACAAAAGGACGTAAAGTTCGTTCAATATTTAGACTGAGATCATGTGTGACACATCAGAGAATCATCGCTGCAAGAAACAAACAAAGAGAAAGACTCACTCAGGGTGGGAGCCTGAGTGTCGAGGAACTGCAGCAGCACATCCTGAAAGACTGGCAGTGTGGCAGCTGAGAGGGAACCGGATGACACAGAGCCCTTCTCATCCACCACCTCCGACTCGCCGCACCTCTGCAAACAAATGTGCAACAGACAGTCTTTGAGTGCTAAACTCAGAAAAATGTTCTTACTTAGCATGTTTCTTTGGATTTACAGTAGATCTACACACACGCTGAAAGTCAACTGTGTATACACATTTAAAGCTTCGAACTAAATCTTACACTCAAAACAAAGATTAGCGATGCGACAACTACAAATAAACAATATCAGAGACTGATATGTTCAGACAACAGATGGTTACCATGACTTTGAGTCAAAATATAAACTAAAGAATAAAACCCTATTCACACATTATCTGGAGATACATACTATGTTGTAGGAATGCAGAGTTTACCTGTGATCTTAATCACAAAATGTCACAAATATGTCTGCAAGTCATGAAACATGCAGTAAATTCACCACCAAATTTTGTCAAATGGGTCATGTTAATAGTAAGCCCCCAGACAACCCCTCTGGATGTCTGGGGCCTGGATCTCCTCCATGCCTGCTTCATGCCCTGGGGG